TCAGCCCATAGGCCGCCCGATAGATATAAGAATAGCACCATCCCATCTATTGTTAAAATAATAAACAACTCCTGATTTATGTACTGTACAGCCCTGTAAATGTATTCAACGCACATTATATCATTATGTCTAAATCAAATGTAAGTCTGTATATTTTCAGCCACCGGCTGCAACTCTATTAATAAACCGTTTATTATTATTATTATTATTATTATTATTATTATTATTATTATTATTATTATTATTATTATGAGCTAAGGATGGAGATTCATCTTTTCCTCTTACTTTAAAAATCTGATTTGGCAATGAGTGGATATTGAAACTGTCATACCTAGCAGACATTTTCTCAAAAAGCTAAATAAATTTAATCTGAAACCTCAAGGAAAGAAAAGATGTATTCCAACACAGTGAAGAAATTAAAGCATTTAAGAAATCAATAGTGCTATGGCAAGCCAGACTTGGAGTTGATCACCCTATGTACTACATGTTCCCAACACTATTGAAATATATTGAGGAAAACTGCATCAATGAAGAAAGTTTGAAGAACATAAGGTGACATACAGATACACCTCCTTGAGTTGTGTGCCAGCTTCAATCAGTATTTTCTTGGAGAAGTTCAATTTTTTGAGAAAAACACTGGGAGGCCAGAATCTATTATAGGGTTGAACCTAACACCTGATAAAAAGAGCTTCTCACTCTCACATGTGATAATACATTAAGAATCAAGCACAAGTCATCATCTGTGTTATCATTCTGGATCAGTGTTACAAGAATAGCCACTCTTAAGTAAGGAAAGTGTCTTACTGTTACAACAACTTACATGTGTGAAGCAGGTTTTTCACCCTAACAAAGCTAAAACCAAAGAGAGAAACTGACTCAAGACTGCAGCTGATATGTTGTGGAGTTAACCTCCTGCAAGCCAGATTGTACCAGGATCACAAGCAACAGGAAGGCCCACCAGTCACACCAAACAGGTAAATAAACTGCCTTACTCCATCTTACTTGTTGCATTTTACAAAGCAGCTTTACATGGTTTGCAATTATTTTATGTCAAAATCTACAAAAGCACTGATTAAAAATTTCATCACATACCTTGTACATGTGTTTTAATCCATATACAATCGACCATAACATCTGGCAGGAGTTACGTAGCCAGAGATAGCCGTGGATGTAAAAATCGGCGTGTATGTGCCCCCATCCACCCAAAAAAACCCTGTCCTGACCCCGTATACCTGTGTGTAAATTAGAGTTATTAAGACCAAATTATTTGGCAAAAAATTGGGGGTGACCTCTAAGCGAATTAATAATTTACGTTGGGTTGAAAATATTTGCAGTAACCTACCAGTAACAACAATGGAAGCGATGCACCAGCGCACCACGCACCTGCCAGCTGTGAGTGCGTTACAGTTGCCAGGGCAGATCTCTTGCGTCATCATAGCAAGCCCAAAGTAACCAAATCCATGGTATGGTAGCACACAAGGACGATGTAAAACATAGTATTCATTTATTAAAGTTATTTTATAAATACTGGACATAAATTTTTGTTCGTTACATTTTCAAACATCAATCTTTGTTAATTAAATTTGAAACAAAAAACTACAATACCGTATTTTCATTAAAATATTACATCACAAGTATATTTTACCTTAACTGTGACTGAATGAATATACGTATTCTCAGAAATAAATATAGAAATGTGATATCTTTTTTTTGCTGGAATAGCGAACATATTACAGTGAAGCGGGATAAAATCATGGCAAACCAATGACTTTTACTTTCTTTAGATTATTCAAAAATTTTACGTAATAAACTTTTGAATGGTTATCAGTTAAAAACTGTTATGCTAGTGCTGTATTACAATAATATTCTATCCTATCATTGACATATAATCCACTACTGAAAAGCCATTGAAAGAATTACGGTAACATCTTTGAGCGAAAAGAAAAGAAAGTCATTACTTCGTCTAATTTTATCACTTTCCTGTATCGACATCATTCAGCAAAAATATTCCATGATCTCAGAAATAAATTGTAGTTTTTATTTGAAGCGTAATGTACAGTATTTATATTAAAATGCAAAATAGCTATAAACAAATTCCATCACCCATATAATGTACTGGCTGGCATCTCCCACTCGTCCCTCCTCCCGTCCAAAGGTCACCACTCCTCCCCCAACTTCATCCCTCCTGCCACCTCCTCTCCTCCACCCCCTCTGCCTCCTCCTCCACCGTCACTACTGCCGAACACAAGCACAGCCGGCAACTGAATAACTGCCTTCCACCTGTAGTACTGAACTGTACTGTACTATGCATTTACAAACAATAAACATAGCAGAAATGCGCAGAAAAAAAAAAGATAAAATTTTCACTTTACTGTACAGTACCTATCCTCGGCGGAAACAGGGCAGGGGGGTCGCCAGAGTCCTCGTCACTCAATTCCATAACAGGTGAGGTGAAGTGGGGGCAGCGGTGGATTCAACTGCTTCCTCACTGCCACCAGTGATTGATGGTGTTAAATCTCTCCTTGGTGAAGTCACAGAGAACATGGTGATGGGGAGTTGGCGTCTCTTTGCTGTTTCTTCCATGATGTTTTTTAATATAGACAAAAACGTCATGCATCCCTCGCATGAATTTCAGGGAGCCTGCTGTGGAGGGGTCCTACTATAGGCAGGTTTTCCAGTGCCTCAATATTCCTGGTCATCTCCCCAACTTCTCTTCGATTGTCTTCTCTTCCTCATGCCTCTTTCCTTTTGCTTCCTCTTCCTTGCCTGAGTCTACTAGCTCCTGTAGATCCTCCTCCAGTCAGCTCAGTGTCGTGCTCTTCAATTAGCTCCCTAATCTCGTCCTCTGCCATGTCCTGAAGCCTTCAGCAGCCACTTTCCTTGACAGTGCCAGGAGGTCTTTCTGAATATTTTCATTAAAATCATCAAAATCATTTCCTTGTCATCGTCTTAGCACAAAACGAAAGCTCCTCCCAGTCTTCTCCTTGAACAGGGCTAGAAAGTGCGTGTTTTTGAATCGTTTTCAATTAAAAAATGTTCCATCACATGTATATTTACCTAAACTGCACCTGAATGAATGTATTCTCAGAAATAAATAGTAGTTTTGCTGAAACGTGATGTATTTCAATGTAAATAGGGATAAATACATAGCGAAAACAAAGACTTTACCTAACCTTCAATAATGTTCAAGAGATGTTGCTCGTTTTTTAATAGTTTTAGGATTTAAATATTTATATTTTAAATGATATTATATTCATACTGTGCTTGATATACTACATTCACGGAAATGTAATATTTTTTGCTGAAATAGCGTACATAATACAGTATTAAGAGTGGGATAAAATGCGTAGCGAAAACAATGACTTCGCTTCTTCGTTCAAAAGATATTTACCGTAATACGCTTTTGAATGGTTTTTCAGTTAAAAAACATTGCATCACAAGTGAATTAGGATAGAAGAATATTATTGTAATACAACAGTTTTTTGCTTCAGAAACCATTAACGTCTGATAACTATCTTCACTCCTACCGTCACTTTCCGCTATATCGTCTGCGTCATTTCAGCAAAATATTACATTTCCATATTCTCAGAAATAAATAGTAGTTTTGCTGAAACGTAATGCATTTCAATGTAAATTAGGATAAACTACATGAAAACAAAAGACTTTACCTAGCCTTCCGATGTTCAAGATATGTTACTCGTTTTTTAGTAGTTTTCGGTTAAAATACTCTTATATTAGTGATATTCTATTCATACTGTGCTTGATATAATACATTCACAGAAATGTAATATTTTTGCAACTACAATGCTGATGTCAACACAAGCGTGGTTACAGCGAGACTGACTGAGTGAGGGAGAGCTATGCGTGGTGTGAGGTTGCGGGAGCGGGCGGTGTCCCGTGTTCGGTGCCGCGCGGGAGTTGAATGGCGCGTGATTTGAATGTACTTCAATTACTTCAATGTACAGAATATTCCTCCGGCGGGGCAACCCGGGTATTTGCAAATCCGTGGATTATAAACCCGCGTATGTTAAGGGCCGACTGTATATGTATTTATGTAGGTAGGTATAATTATGTATAATTGGCAAAGATAATTCCTCTTCACGTAGTCATTTCAATTATATTTTCGCCCCCGAGGCCCCGATGTGGGTCAGTGACCTGTGCCCAGGTGGGCGAATCACCGTAAAAAAAAAAAAAATGATATAATAAAGAAATAGAATTTACATAAACAGTATAACAAAATTTATCTATGCAATTGATGTAATACAAATTATCATCAATATAAGGATATCATTGATAGCTTTATCAGATAAGTAACTTGAAGATGTAGCAAAATTACTTTCCCCGAATGTACATACAGTATATTACAAATACAAGTATGCATGCATGTGTGTATGCAGGCATGTATTGGTAGAATAGCATGTGTTTCTATCCATAAGGGAAGGGGGGGGGGGCTCTTACGACTGGCAATAGGGCCGTGAAGATACTGCATAAAATCGTACTGGGTCGCAATGAAAAAATTAAGAACACTGAACTAGGCTACTCACACAATGTTATGAGGCAACAAATGTAAGTCACTACCAGTGTACTAGACTACTCACACACTGTTATGGGGCAACATTCATTGCCTGTCAGTGATGGTACAACAAAAAGGCATATGGAGTGAAAACTGTACTATCATTAAAGAAAACTAGCTAGAAAAGTGCTTTAGCCTTGAAGTTGAGCAGCACTGCAGAGGAAACAAATAGGATTTTAAAACCATTCCAGTACAGTTTACTGCTAACAAGCCATTCACTTTATATACTTACGTGACCTGTACCTAAACATTCAAATTGTATTTTTGCCACAAAAATGTTAACTTCATTTTACAAACTTTGGACCGAAGAGGATCACTATACTTTCAAATTATATTTTTTACTTTTTTTACCAAACAGTTACACAGCAAAAGAGAAATGGTACAGTTAATGATGAAACACACAGCAGTACAGTACAGTATGACATACCTTGGAAAACATTCGTGTTGCTGCATGGGACGAGGTGACCAATAAGATGGTGAACACAGTTTGAAAGGAGTCTGAGGGGGGGAGGGGGAGCGTTTACAACCTCACAAGTTCTGACTCTGAGATACAAGATGATGCTGCAGCCCACATACTCAACCTGAGGTGGAACAGTGGAATTTCTTTCAGCAAATTTGTTTTTGAGATGAGGATAAAAAAGAAGATACTGTAGTTAATAAATTACTGTCAGTATTTATGAATTAAATTCTTGAAGAACCTCAAGGAAGGAGGGGCCCCAGCTTAGACTCCTGGTATGACTGTACATAGGGGCAAATAGTAAATGTTCAAAACAGTGACTACCTGTAAATATTACGCTACTGTATTACATTACATGTATACAGGTACAAAGTTTTTATACTTACCTTTAATGATAATAATAATTTGATGTGTTGTGTGTGACATTGACGAGTGTGCCAAATTCACGTGTCAACAAAGCTTGTGTTAATGTTTTAAAAATTTAAATAACCACACAATTGTCAACCATTATGACCTACAAAGTAACCTTATTTTTACCTTTTTCCACAGTTCTACATGATTGCCTCTTACACAGAGGTGTGCAAAGTATTTAAATTTGCTTCTGTACTGTACATAGTCTTGTTAAAGTACTTGCACAAGTACTTAAGGTTCTCAAGTTTTGCGAGTTTTGAATTCAACGTTTTTTATTTGGACACAAAAAAAAACACTACACAATTTCAAATTTTCCCGGCGGAAACTCGAATTTCGACGGGTTTGAGCGGCCCGCCAACGTTCAGACGACGTGCACAATTGTGTAAACAGCGTCATTTCTCTTATGTACAAAAGATTCATTATATTATTGTTTATTACTGAATGTCTTTTTGATTGAATTAATGTTTATGTGTGCAAAATGAACAATACAATTCATTAATAATACGTAGAATATTAAAACACACGAGGAGACGAGACAGCATTGTTTTCGTTGTTTACAAAACCAGTGACTGACTGGTTCTACATATAAAACTGAAGAAAATAAGACCCTGGTTGTAGCTGTAGTAAAATTAATGTAAAAAAATTAATGGTAAAGAAAAAAGTGAGACTGCGTATGTAAGTACGCACATGTGAAAACATATCATCATTACTCTAGGGACTGTCAATTGATTGAAAATGTCCAAAGGAGGGCCACCAATCTGGTGCCTGCTCTAAGGCACCTCAGCTACCCAGAGAGATTAGAACACCTGCAACTGCCTAGCTTATGCTGCAGACAGACAAGGGGTGACCTAATTGAAGTGTACCTGTATAAACATCTCAGGGGGCACTTATTCAGTCGAATGTACATACCTGGAGCTGGCGAACACCCATCACACAAGAGGTCACAGCTCAAGGTTGAAGAAGCCACAAGTCCAGAAAACTGTGAGGGCAAACTTTTTGGAGTGAGAGTTGTGAACTCTTGGAACAATCTGCCAGAGAGTGCTGTAACGGTACCGAGTGTGAACTCTTTCAAGACCAGACTTGACCAACACTGGAGCAGGTTCAGGTACATTCAGGAGCAAGTGCATGCCCAGTACTTGTCAACAGTGAATAGCAGAGAAACAACCGATCGCCCAAGTGGCTAACGAGCCGATCAGTGGTGAAGAGGATAAAAGTAAAAGTAAAAAGAAGAAACCATGAAAGGCTGTGACTCTTGAGGCAAAGCTTTAAGTAATTAAGTGTCATGAATGTGATGATGACCCAACCAAGTTTGGGAAATATCTTGATCTGGCTGCTTCTACTGAGGCCACAATTTACAAGCATGCTGAGGACTGTGGTGTCCCTGGCAGACAGCAGTGATAAGGTGGACAACCCTCCTCATCTCGCTGAGTGAAGCCATTACTCAGCTCACCCCTGCTCTGGCGGTGAGCCCTCACTACCCTCCCATAAGGTAATTACCAAAGATATACAGTATTTTTGTTTTCAAGTGTTAGGTAGTAAATCAGAGTAGTTGTGTTCTAGTTGAGAAGGTTTTCATCTTGTTTGTGAACATATTTCGTGCTCTTGAGGTATGATATTAGGGCATTTTTGTCAATGGGGAACTGAACCCTATTTTTTCCATACCCACTATCTCAGATGTGGGGGAATTAATTTAGCATGAAATACTTATTCAAAGTGTTAAAATGAAGGTTGTTATACATTGCCTTACATCCCTTGAAGCTGTTTTGGGACAAAAAGTAGGTGACATCATGAAAAACCCCTCCTCATTCATGTGAGGTGGGAGGAAGGCTGGAAGAGGAAGTATGGACAGGGAGGGGGTAGAGTGGTGTTAGGATGTGTCATGTGTAAGAGAGAAACCCACAAGCAAATTATTTTACAAATGCAATTATTTTAAGAACATAGGATAGCGGCATCAGTTTGTATTAAAAAATATTAAAATTTAAACTAGAGCGAGGGCATTTACAAACTGGATCCTGTGATGCAAACTTTGGTGGTCCGTCAGGTCCATGCCGGCAAATGTGCTACTTGACCTTGTTAAAGGTGACCACTGTGGTGATGTGTGTCATGAAGGATGGGAGTAGTCTGATGAGATTGTGAGGTTATGTCACATGTCCTAAGGAGGGTGACAGTTGTTGCCAAAACTGTTTGAATTAAATATGAATCAATCCCAAGCAAAAGTTCAAAGTGATCTTTTATTCTGCAGCCCTGGATGTAGTAATAGAATCAGTTGAACAAAGGTTCACACCTAAGCATCAAGTAAGTTCCCTTGTTTGGTTTCCTGTATGACATTCACAATATGCAGACAATAGCATCAAAAAAAGTACTGTAATGGAACATTGCTTAAAACTAGAAAATATTCACAACAAGATGTCCACAAAGATATTGACGTTTGCATCACCACGAAACATTTTACAGTTTACATGTTAAAAAAAGCTATCAGATATTGTTCCAAATGAATTTATTGCTTTAAGTATTCTCTTGACACTACAGGTACCTGTGTCTGTGGCCAGTGGTGAGCTAAGTTTTTTCAAACTAAAATTGATACAAACATATTTACTCAACATGACACAAGAAAGACGTTGGGCTTTTCACTCTTGTCCATAGAACATGAAATTGCTGAGAAACTTGACTTGAAACAACTTGTTTGCACATTTTCAAAATCAAGGTATGAGAGAACTGTACTACCTGTATAATGTACTGTATTACCCATACACCTGTTGCTAAATGACTTATTGGGTACAGATGGAACTACTGTACTGTATCTGACACTCAAGTTTCTATTCTGTACTTTTGGGGAGACCATGTTAGTCTGACCCCAGACTAGCTAGATTTATGAAGGTATGACCTGGTGGTGATGTGGGAATACTGTGGCCAGAGTCCACACCACACTTACCCATAATTTACATAAATTGTATCTCGTTTCTTTACTGAGTGTGTATAGTAATTATGTAATAATACAGTACTACTGTAATGAGTTACAGGAGCTAAGTAAATGCAGAAAAGGTAAGAGTGGAGCAGACGGCTAACACCAGGAGTTGTTCGATTTCATTTATATTTTCCACAAATGTTCCTTGGATGAAAGTAAGTAATAAAAACGATTGGACAAATTTTCATCTTAATTATAAGTTTTTTCTCTATAATCATAAGTCACCTGTAGTGGACAGAGCACGGTGGATGAAGGAAATTGCGGGCTAAAAACACAGCGAAAAACAGATCATATGAGACTTTATGTCCTTTGCACGGGAAGAAATTTAATCATACCCATAAATATTCTGCCAAAAATTCTGGCCTGTTGGAGTGTGTTCTCTTCCGATTGTAAACAAATAAATTCAGATTCCAATCTCGCTTAAACTGTCAACTAACAACAAATCATCATATCTGAAATTTTACGACCTGTATTAAAGGCACGACAGCCTTCTTTTTTTTTAACCTTCAGTATTTAGGGGCTTTTTAGGAGTGTTTCTGACGCATTTTTTGGCTTTACGCGAGGTCCCAGGAACGTAACCCAAGTGTGAGTTGCGAGTACACAATACTGTATTATGGTAAAGAAGAAGAAGTGTGGAAATTTCTACAAGAACACGGTGTTCTACCTACGGAAGTTATTTGCGCCAAGTGGAACCATCCTTGTAGTCACCAAGCTGATAAACACCTCTGGTACTGTGGGAGAAGAACTGTTCTTCCCTAGTCTAGCAAGAGTAACAAAAGAAATTATACAGCATTACACTACAAAGGAACAGTTCCCTCTAGTGCACATCTGCACCTGTGGAAACTGATCTTATTTGTCAATCATTGTCTCCATAAGACCTGGGACCCCAACTCCAAGTCTTCTGAGTCTAATTAAAGTAAGCACACAGGTAGATAGGTTAGGATTAGGTTAGGTTGGACTGGTTTCGGTTGGGTTAGGTTAGGTTTGGGATGATTGTGACTTTCACTTCTATCACAAATTACTACTTTTTGTGATTTTCCCCCACCTAAAACCTCTGGTTTCTGCTGGGGTCCCCCATTACCATTAAATAAGAGGGGTTAGCTCAAAAAGTAGTGATTTGCAGTAGAAATGAAGATCAGAATAGTTCAAAACACATCAAAAACCATCGGAATAACATATTTTCAACTTCCAAACAGGTGGATGACCGAAATGATAATTTTACCATGCACCCAATTACAATTTGTGACAGTGAATCTTAGCAGCCATTTCTTCAACTATTCTTGAAGCTCATAGAGATCTTTCTGTAGCTTTTTAGCTTCAAGAAAGCACCTTAAATAGATCAGGCTATTATTATCATTCTGGTTATCCAGCGAATTTTAAGATTTTAAGTTTTGGAATCAATTCTGTTGTTTAGACAAATCTAAGACACTTTTCTTTTATAGTGTTTCTGTCGTAAATTTATATTTTTAAATTATATAATAATCTATAAAATTACCAACAATATTACTTGTTGAAAGTGGGCAGGGCTTTGAAGCAGAGGGAAAATGTGGGGTAAAATACTAAAAAATAACACTAAACAAAAATTGGAAAACCCGACCTAAACTTTCCTAACTCGTAAAAATGTTAAGAATCACTTTCGAGCTTAGGGATCCCTCCTCATCTGAACACCAAAAACATGAATAAGGTCAACTTTTTTATAGTTTTAAGATTTTTAAAGGTTGGGAAACTTTAGGTTAGGTTTTCAAAAGTTTGTTTAGTGTTTTTGGCTAATATGGAGGACTTCACAGCCGACGAGTCACTGTATTTGATTTAATGTTTTTATTCGAGCTATATTTCCATCAGTAAGTTCTGATATAATAATCATTTTTAATGAAATTGCTTCGTATGGTAAATATTTAGACAAATAGGTGCACACTACATTTCATCTTTCTCGGCGGTTATGCAGTGGTGCTTAGCCAATCATACGTCACGCATTACTGTGAAATTGAACTGGGTTTGTCTTCAAAGTCAACACTCATTCACCACTTCCTCAATGCTGTGGATCACCACTTCCCCCCCATCTCATTAACAGTAAGTTCACCCACTGCAGGTGTTAAGTTATGCTAGGTTAGGTTTGGTTGGTTAGGTAAGGTAGGTTAGATTAAAGTTAAGTTTAGGTGAAATTAAAGTTAAATTAAGGTTAGCTTAGATAAGGTTACGGTTAGGCTATATTAACATGAACTTTTAAATAAAAAAATTTTAACATTTGCCATAACTACGACAATGTCCACTATAAAACATAGTGAAATTGTGGCATTTTTAAATTGGTTTTCTATGAAAAATCAACTGCTGTGAAGTCGTAAATAATTAGGGACTTTTTTTTAGTATTTTACCCCACATTTTCCCTCTACTACAAAGCCTTACCCACTTTGAGCAAGTAATATTGTCGGTAATTTTATCGATTAAAATACTCGAAAGATATAAATTTCCGACAGACATGCTATAGAGGAAGTGTCTTAGAATTGTCTAAAATTCGCTGGATAACCAAACAATAATTTAACCTAATGTAGATCAAAATTCAGCCATTTTGCTTTGTCTATATTGTATCTTAGGTTAATATTGACGACTGACCTGCGGACAAGTTATTTATATTGCTGTTTATTTTCTTACCTTACTTTTATCAGTGAGTTCTCATATGACAATTATTTCTTGTGTAAATGCTACATTTGGTAGACAATTAGGGGCCTCGGCGCACAGTACTTTGTCTTCTTGGCGGTAATGCCACAGTGGTCTCATCCCAGGAAGTAGACAGCCAATCATATTGACGTATTTCAAAACACTCTGCCGCCTGGGCCGGATCAATGCTGATGCTCAGTGTATGTTCATGAGCCGTTCGGTACGGGCAACTGCTCTCACATCCACAAAAAACATAGAATTACACTATATGATAGTAAGTTCTTTCTGTTTAATATACCAGGCAGTCCAGGGCGAGGGAGGTAGGTAAGGTTAGGTAGGTCTGTTTGGAATAGGTTGGTGGTGTTCTAACAATGCTTCTGCTGCTTGTTTTCAGATCAGGTTAGGTTTGGTTAGGTTAGGTTTAATTTAGGAATAATAACCTCTTTTTAACACATTTGCACAAACTACGACAGTGTCCACTACAAAACACAGTGAAATTACGGTATTTTTATCGTTTTCTATGAAAAATTGGCATCAGGTCAGTCATCAATAATTATCATATCTTAAGGCTAAAGATAATTTCCATGTTGCAGCTATTGAAACAGTAATATATTTCGTTTAGTTAACAATAGTTGAAGAGATAGTTACAGGCCACAAGCTATGGCAGCTGCATCAGTCATCTACCAACACAATATATGTTTGTTAACCTTGTATAGGCTAACATTACTAACTTCATCTTATTTTATTTATAATTTTTACTATTCCACCACTGGTTTACTTAGAGGGTAAACCATAGGGACTCATGTCCGAAAGTAAAAATTTACCAATATAAAACAAAAAAGTTACAGCATATAAATACATAGACAGACACACTTCAGACAGGTACTCATAGACAGATACACTTCAGACAGGTACTCATAGACAGACACACTTCAGACAGGTACTCATAGACAGACACACTTCAGACAGGTACTCATAGACAGATACACTTCAGACAGGTACTCATAGACAGACACACTTCAGACAGGTACTCATAGACAGATACACTTCAGACAGGTACTCATAGACAGATACACTTCAGACAGGTACTCATAGACAGATACACTTCAGACAGGTACTCATACACTTCAGACAGGTACTCATAGACAGATACACTTCAGACAGGAGGAGACATAGACAGACACTTCAGACAGGTACTTCAGACAGACACACTTCAGACAGGTATAGACAGATACACTTCAGACAGGTACTCATAGACAGATACACTTCAGACAGGTACTCATAGACAGATACACTTCAGACAGGTACTCATAGACAGACACACTTCAGACAGGTACTCATAGACAGACACACTTCAGACAGGTACTCATAGACAGACACACTTCAGACAGGTACTCATAGACAGATACACTTCAGACAGGTACTCATAGCCTTAATGTTACTGAAGCTTCCCACATGTCTCTTACCGGTACAATAGTTGTGTTATGTTAAGTATCTCTTTGACAACTTAAATGTGCAGTAACATTTTTTGTCTTTTATTTCCTCAAATTTTTAAAGTTATATTTGGAATCAGCGTAAAACTGTACTAGTGTCCCGACTTTCATTATCCCATACAGATATGTGAAATTGCCATACAATTTCACTTCAGTAAGCACTGTGTATAGACAGAAAAATTATATACGGTCTTGATATATTAAAAGCAAGCAATATTATAAGGAAGTTATTAGTTCCCTCCTTACTGTAGAGATGATGGCTGTTGGTGTACACACAGGAGGCAGTGTTGCCAACTGTGGGCTGTTGGTGTACACACAGGAGGCAGTGTTGCCAACTCGATAGTGGGAAAACTCAAAACGTATCACAAAAGTACTAAAAACGTAAAAACGTTTCCATAATCTTCTAACACGTTCCGAAAAGTATCCACTTTTTTCTTTAATAAAATGATGAATTTCTTAGTATCTACAGAAATTTTGTATATTTACATATAGCCTACACTTCACGGCATCTGATAGAGTATCTATGGTCATTCGTCTGGCAACGGAGAACATTTCTACAAACTTCAAGAATTCTATTGTAAAAATAGAAGTGTGATAGTGTCGTTTTGTGTTTCACATTTCTTGGTTGACCACAAGATCATGTAGGTAATTTAATAGCCGACCCCGCGAATTCCCCAGTGTATGCCTCGTGGTGACCTACCTCTCTACCTACACCAACCAGCAAGCAACACCTCCTCCTCCTCCTGCTGGCGAGCATGGCGACCCACAAGCTGGTCCTCCTCTGAGCACCCTCACCAACCAGCTTTCTCTACATCACGCTTGTAACCACGCTACCACTTCCCAGCACCAAGCTGCACTATACATCCAATACAACATGTATACAGAGAGCACATTGTGAGTTTCCTTTCTCCATCCCATCCTGAGTGTGAACCAAACAACCTGTACCCCACAAATGGTGACCCCCGGAGATTCGCACTCACACAGGATGGAGGAGAAACCGATCACTCTCCCAGTCTTCAAGCAACATGGAAGACTGGCTTAACCACATAGAGGCAGCTCTCATCGGCTCTACAGCTGCTGGCTCTACACCGCAGGTTAGACATCCTAGAGCAGCACTGCTTCTCTAAGCAGACACCAGCTCCTCTTCCTGCCCCAAGCACCACGTTCTACCGACCCCAACACACCCGTCCTGCCTCAGACGCCGCCCCGGCCCAGCAGTACCCCCTGCCGCTCCTCCTGACGCAGCCCCTTCTCCTGACGTGGACCCACACACCCCTCTTTTCTACCTCAGGTACCCCCTGCTATTGTCCTGCACCCTGCTGCTGTCGTGGACCCAGCTGCTGTCACGGACTCTCCTCCGCTCCTGCTGACGCAGCCCCCCCTCCTGACCCAGGCCCACACATCCCAGCAGGCGCATCTGAGGACTCTGTACCTGTCGCGAGTGAAGCACAACATTCATCGCCTCCACACACCCTTTTTCTCCCTCTCTACTCCCACAGATATTGTGTATCTAGACAGTTGTCTCCTCTAGCGGCTGGCTCATCCACGCCCTCGCCGTTATGGCTCACATGTGGCATGCACCGCCCGTTCTGCCTCACATGTGCCATGCAACCCTGCAGACAACAAGTCTCCTACACCGCCTGGAGGGAAGGGGGGAGTATTGTAGTGGATTCCTCCCCTACAAATGCTTGTCGCTGAGTAGCCGACCCCGCGAATTCCCCAGTGTATGCCTCGTGGTGACCTACCTCTCTTTCTACCTACACCAACCAGCAAGCAACACCTCCTCCTCCTGCCTGGCGGCCCTCGCTCCCGCTGGCGAGCATGGCAACCCACAAGCTGGTCCTCCTCTGAGCACCCTCACCAACCAGCTCTCTCTACATCACACTTGTAACCACGGTGCCACTTCCCAGCACCAAGCTGCTCTGTACATCCAATACAACATGCATACAGAGAGCACATTGTGAGTTTCCTTTCTCCATCCCATCCTGAGTGTGAACCAAACAACCTGTACCCCACAACACAACCACTGTGCACAGACTGATTTTTTTTTTTTTTTACATATTTCTAGTATGACAACAAAGTTAACCTGAAATATAATGATGTTGTAGTGTACTGTATGTGGCCAGTTGTCAATTCTCTTTAGTTGTCTATTTTCTCTTTGTTTGGGCACACAAACAGACGTACATGTAGATATCATACACTCAGGAATGAGGTAGAATAGAAACTCACAGTGCGCTTTCTGTATATATATTGTTATACAGTGCAGTGCTTAGGAGTGACTAGGTGAGGAGTAGCTTGCTCAGAGGTCCTGTAGGGCGAGGAGGTTTCTGAGGAAGCTGGGTGGTAAGGAGCTGTTCAGAGATGTTGCTGGTCCGGTAGCCGAGTGTAGAATGAGTTGCCCGGTCAGCCGGGGCCGTATTTATGTGATTTAGGAATCTCAGGGAATGAGGTGCTCGTAGCGCGAGGGCCAATCACGGGAGCGGAAGCGTAAGGTGTGAAACGCTCTGATCCTGAGCTGGAAGTTGAAGGTCGAGACTACGTCGGCGATCATACCCCTACGTCCACTGCATAGGCCTAGTCTCTCGGCATAGCTGGCTGTACGCGGACCCTCTCTCACCATGAACGGTTACGAGTTTGACAACGTGGCGTGGATACGTCCGGATACGCCGACCTGCCCCAAGAAATTAAACCTCCTAGTTCTCGAGAAGTTCTTTGAAACTCATGGGATCATGGGGGTCACCAAGGTGGAACGACTGAAGCTCCATGGTGACATCAAGATCACCTTCACCGAGAAGGGTATGCCCGCACAGCTCGCGGAGATCCCAGACATCAACAGCATTCAAATAAAGATGATTGCCTACAAGTGGGACAACCTGAAGCTGGAAGTAATCTCCCACGCCGAAATTGCCCACGTGGACCAAGCAGAGCTGAGTGAGCTCCTCAAGGGGCAACTCCACGTTGTCAAGAAGCTGTCCGACACCACTGCCCTCATCGGACACCATACCACCTTCCCCAAGGAGGCTCAACTGGCGCGGGTAACTGTGCCAGTCAAGCCGTACTGCAGACCGAAATGCTGTTACAAATGCCAGCACTACAGACACACTGTCAATGAGTGTGAGGCGCAGGAGGACAGCTGCTCCCTGTGCGGCAGCCCTGGACACCGCTACACTGTCTGCCCCAACACAGTAAAAAAATGCGCTGCCTGTGGCGGCCCACATTCCTCCGCCGATCAGACCTGCCCCAAATGGAAGGAGGAATGCAGGATAGCCAAGGCTCGACTCGACAAGAAACTGAGCTACAAAGAGGCCCTCCTTGCTGTACGCTCCCATGACAAGAAAAAACCAGACGAAAGAAAAATCAAGAAAAGAAAACCCAAGAAAAGAAAACTCCAAGAAAAGACACCCGCCACAAAGAATCAAGAACACCACGAGGCCCGTGGAGCTGAAGCCCACGTGGTCAACCTCACCGTCTCCAACTTCTTCCACACCTATGAGGACATAAGACACGAGGAAGACGAACATCAAGACCCAAACACGAATGAATGGCCACTTCAAGAGAGCAAGAAGAGGAGGAGAGTTAGAAGAAAATCAACTTCAAGCTAACAAGAATACCAAGACAGAAAACAGAAGACCAAGACATTTCCTCCAAACAAGAAAAAAACACACACAATCAATCCGACCAAGCACTGAGAAACCATGGCCCAACCCAACACGCACCTGGCGCTTGACCTGACGCTAACCTGACTCTGTCCTGCCGCCTCCTCGCTGCTTCCAGGCGAGTTGCTGCTGCCTCCAACTTAAACTCCCTCACGCAAGCGGTGTTTAGCCACTGCACCTATTCTCTCCTTCTAAAATTCACTTCAATCCTCCCTTTATCCTTCCCCCCTGTCACTGGCATTTTATGTATGTATGGCTGTATGCAAGGTAGTGGACCCTCTCTCACCATGAACGGTTACGAGTTTGATAACGTGGCGCGGATACGTCCGGATACGCCGACCTGCCCCAAGAAATTAAACCCCCTAGTTCTCAAGAAGTTCTTTGAGACCAATGGGATCATGGGGGTCACCAAGGTGGAATGACTGAAGCTCCATGGTGACATCAAGATCACCTTCGCCGAGAAGGGTATGCCCGTACAGCTCGCGGAGATCCCAAACATCAACGGCATTCCATTTAAGATGATTGCCTACAAGTGGGACAACCTGAAGCTAGGAGTAATCTCCCACGCCGAAATTGCCCATGTGGACCAAGCAGAGCTGAGTGAGCTCCTCAAGGGACAACTCCAAGTTGTCAAGAAGCTGTCCGACAATGCTGCCCTCATCGGACACCATACCACCTTCCCCAAGGAGGCTCAACTGGCGCGGGTAACTGTGCCAGTCAAGCCGTACTGCAGACCGAAATGCTGTTACAAATGCCAGCACTACAGACACACTGTCAATGAGTGTGAGGCGCAGGAGGACAGCTGCTCCCTGTGCGGCAGCCCTGGACACCGCTACACTGTCTGCCCCAACACAGTAAAAAAATGCGCTGCCTGTGGCGGCCCACATTCCTCCGCTGATCGGACCTGCCCCAAATGGAAGGAGGAATGCAGGATAGCCAAGGCTCGACTCGACAAGAAACTGAGCTACAAAGAGGCCCTCCTTGCTGTACGCTCCCATGACAAGAAAAAACCAGTAGAAATGAAAAACCAAGAAAAGAAAACCCAAGAAAAGAAAACTCAAGAAAAGACACCCGCCACACAGAATCAAGAACACCACGAGGCCCGTGGAGCTGAAGCCCACGTGGTCAACCTCAATGTCTCCGACTTCTACCACACCTATGAGGACACAAGACACGAGGAAGACAAACATCAAGACCCAAACACGAATGAATGGACACTTCAAGAGAGCAAGAAGAGGAGGAGAGTAAGAAGAAAATCAACTTCAAGCTAAGAAAAATACCAAGACAGAAGACCAAGACATTTCCTCCAAACAAGAAAACAACACACACAATTTTTTATCAGAGTACCACATAGAAGGGTACAACCTTTTTCACAAGGACAGGGAAGGTAGGAAGGGGGGAGGGGTCGCACTCTTCGTCAAGGATACATTAAAATGTTGTATCAATAATTCAATAAAGGGTGAAATAGGAACCGAGTCTGTATGGGTAGAAATCACAGAAGGAAGAGAAAAACTAATTATGGGAGTGATTTACAGGCCCCCAAGTCTTGGGAAAGAAGCAGCTCAGCCTATATGGCAGGAAATGAGTAGGGCAGCAAAATATAACAACTTGTGCATTATGGGGGATTTCAACTTCAGAAATATTGACTGGGACAACATTGTAGGTGACTATGAATCTGAAGACTTCCTAGACGCA